CTAACAAGTAAATGTCCACACAAAACATTTTAACAAAAATTTGTGACTACAATGCCCAAATTACTGAAAATAATGGGAAGTGTTCCTCACTGGTGGACTCACAGAAAGGGGCCTTTGTAGCATTTGTCCCTATGGAATGCTCAAAATCAGCGTAACATTGTGTTTTCTTTGTGCAGGAAAAATCGAGACAGGTGAGTTTTAAGAAATTGGTGAACACTGCACAAACTTGAATTCAAATTGTAACATACCTAACAATAAGGAGAATCCCAATTCAGAGCGCAACCGAGTAAGCCCAATGGCATCCATGATCCATCCAATACACCTTGGATCTCTAAATACATCAGCAATGTTACTGTCATATTTTCTAGCAAATTGACCAATCCAAATTTATGCAGCTCTCAGAGCTGAGCTCTGACGTATGCCTAAAGCGATCGAAAATAAAAACAAAAAGGGTACTCACATGGGCAAAAGTTGTCCAACAAATCAACAAAATGAAATAGGCGGCCTTGGTCCAACAGTGACTGATGATAAAAATTTCAAAATATCATACTAATAAGCACAAATTAACCCGGCGGCCGCTGGGCCTCCGCGCCACCCGCCGGCCGCTGGGGGGGGCATAAAGTTGCCCCCCCTTTACTTCTGCGACGATATCGTCGCAACGCGAAGAGATAGAGAAGCGAAACTTTGCACACATCTTCCTGAATACCTAGCCGAGGTTGTGTCCAAATTTGGTGTCGATCTCATTTGAAATGACGTCACAGTGACGTCATAAGTGAAATTATAGATTTGCGACTCTCATATTCCTCACGATACATCACATATATGGGACCGAATATAAAGGGCCAATTATTGGTCAGAAACTAGATGGAAGTGTAGTAAGATGTTTTAGGATGACAGCAGGTGCTGTCTAGTTCATTTACAGTCGAGTTTCATGCTCAGCGTCATCAGAAACGGTCCATATCGGAAAACGACAAAACTTTATGACGTCACTGTGACGTCATCTTAGGTGCTACAACCACCAAACTTTCCTCAAACATTGCCTAGGTATTCATTTGAAGCTATGCCAAGTTTCACGTTCGTAGCTCATCAGGTTTCGGAGATATTTCACAAAACGTAAAGGGGGGGGCAACTTTATGCCCCCCCCCAGCGGCTCGTGGGTTAAGAACCACAGCACCCTAGCGTGGGATATTTTAAGAATTACATCCAAAAATGACCAAAAACACCGGTAATAGCGTATCAATTGACGCATGACAGCACTGGAATCGCCTAATACTGCTAGTAGTGAAAGCTTTATGTTTCATCATCATACTTGATATTTTGAGAATCGACACTAATATTGAAAGAGCTACAGCAATAGTAGCAGAATAAAATCTACTTAGTTATACACAGTAAAAATAATAAAATGAAAATCTTTCCTGTTAGCTTGAAAATGTCTTCCAACAAATGTGTCAGTTATTACGCTTTGGCGAACTCCTTTTTCTTAGGGACTCTTTAGCTCTAAATATCAGCCGTTGGTCTCTTTATTTTGCTTTCATCTGCAGCGCACAAGTGACAAACAACTTTACGGCGAGCAAGTTGTTCAGTTTGATGGCCTGTGGTGGCATTGCCTGTGGCCTGCGTTGGAGTATTAACCTACAACACACACACGTAGAATGCCTAAAAAATTAACATTGAATAGATTATAGCGCGTTAATATATGACTTTATGTGAATGTTACTGTTAACATGCATCTTCATATTTGCTTAAAAGCATTACATTGACATGATTCATCGTTCGTTGTCATTTGCTAATCGTGATTTGGATTTGAGTCAGAGGGAGACTTAATATAATTTATATATTGCTCTTTCATAAATCAAAAAGTTTGTATGTTATGTGTCAGCTTCCTTTGGCTGTGGATTCTTATGGATTGGTGCAGGCCATGGGAGTGAAGTTTTTGTGCCAAGTTGGACATGTGCACTCCTTTCTTCGTGTTCAGTCAGTTCCGTGACATCCAGTGGATGCAATGCTGAGCCTTTTATCAGTTGCCAGTTAAACACTTGAACACTACGTCATAGGCACCAGAAAATGAAGGATGGTCATAAATGGATGCATAATTAACCATTATTCCAATTCCTATTATTCCTTTGTTGTAGTAATGGATATTCAAGCGGGTGGGTTCAATCATGTCACTTTGTGCAGGTGGTTGGTGCATCTCTACTGCATTTTGGGCTACAGCCCACATCAAGCAGTGTGCATGTGCCTTAGGCTCAGATTTATATTGATATACTGTAGGATATGAAGTTCTGGGGTACTGTGTTATGTATAATGTAGATGTGCTCCACTGCCTCTGTCCATTAGGCTTAAGATACAGGTTGTAGATCAGATTCATCTTCTTTTATCTTCATTCACATTCATGATATCAGTTTGTTTCACAGGGCTGTAGTGTAGGTCAAGGTGAATCAATTTTATGAAAAGACACCTTGGCTAAAGAAGCATTGAAGCTTGTTTGGAACAATAGTTCTAAAGCAATATTTCTTCAATGTTTCAAGGAGTTGGTTGATGTTTGTTTGTAACCAGCAAACAAGAAAAGTGTGTTCTTTGAGTGGCAAGTGAAGAAAAAACATGGAATTTGTCATTGGTGGACTTGCAGGATGTTGTGCTGGTGTTATCACCAACCCACTTGATGTGATCAAAACTAGGATGCAACTGCAAGGGGAGCTGAAACAAGCAGGCAGATATGTAGTGCATTACAGGAATGTGTTCCATGCTGCCTATGCCATTGCACGTGCAGATGGCATCTTGGCTCTCCAGAAGGGGCTTTCACCTGCCCTTTGCTATCAAATGATGATGAATGGTGTCAGACTTGGCACTTTCCACATCCTGGAGGACTCAGGAATAATGAGAACCAATGATGCAGTGAGCCCATGGAAATATGTGTGTGGAGGTGCCTTTGCTGGTGCGCTCGGCAGTTACTTTGGCAGCCCATTCTATCTAGTAAGTGCAATATTTCCGTTTTTTAATGTTTTTCTTTCTCCTCTTTGGGACTTGCAACATGTGTTTTGGTTAAATCTCTTGTTATATCTCCATTCACTCTAATTATTCATAAGTCTTGAAGAATATAAGGGCAAAATGTAGACGAAACAAGCCTATTGATAATATTCAGTTCTGATTGGGTTGTATTGTGTGACTTACATTGTACAGTTTAAATTGTGGCAAATAGTTTAAATTGTATTTAGCATATAGAGCTGTTTGTATCTGACTGTGGCCCACAGTGCCCCCTAGTCTCTGCTCACGCCACTATCCTGTCTCCATCTGCAGGTGAAGACGCACCTGCAGACCCAGAGCGCCACTATCGGGGTGGGCCACCAGCACCGCCACGGCGGCCTGGCGGCAGCGCTGCGCGCCATCTACGGCCGACACGGCGCGCGCGGCCTGTGGCGCGGCAGCGTGTCGGGCCTGCCGCGCGTCATGGTCGGCTCGGCCACCCAGCTCACCACCTTCTCCGCCTCCCGCGAGGCCATCGAGCGAGCAAAGGTACACCGGGACGGGGAGCATAGAGAGACGAACCGCCAGACACTATCTTACGCACCCAGGGATTGAGGGATGAGGTGAGAGAAGAGTAACGACTGAGGCATTCCACGTCAAATCAAACACCGAAATCCGTCATCCCCTTCGATTTTTCTGAAAATTTGTAGGCAGACTGGGCATGGTTCAAAACTGAGTTACGTATAATATTTTCGAAATTTGATAACTTATCGCTGAGATATAGGTCATCGAATATAGCGAAAAATGCCACACATCAATTTTTTAAATGGCTATAACTCTGGTTCCTTTTCTGGTATCAAAATGATATTAACAGGGTCGTATAGGCAATTAATAAGGCTTTGATTTTTAATTATAAAATTAAATTGAAGTGACCTTGAAATGCATTTGACCTTGAATTAAAACAGAAAAATTTAAATAGCAAAAAACACGTCACCTTCGATTTGGGTAATTTTTACATATTATGTCCGTCACAATGTTCCTAACCATCTGTGAAAAAATTGGAGTGGGCCATTCATAACTTTCGCGGCAAACGCCGTTTTCATGCATCAACATCACGCAACCGCGCGTGACCTTGAAAGACAGAGTCAAGACATGCTTGCATGTGTACACTTTCTGAAATGAATGATTGCTGATAAATGATATCCCAAACTCTGCGAGAATGGAAATGCATAGTCATCGTAGTCAAGCATTCACGTTCCATAGTAAAAGTGTCTCAGGCAAACGGTATTTTGCGGTGAATTTTGAGCCGTGTGGAAATGCATCATGAAGTAAATTCAACGAAAACATTATCACGCAACGATATCTTCACGTCATTTGATCTTCACTATACGAAAGAACATACATTTTTTAGTATGTATGGGAAATTTCTAGTTAATCCAATAATAAATATGGCAGTTAGAGGCCTGCTAAGAGTAACATGTCGCCGGCTGAGGCGGGCTCGGCCGATGCGGGAAACGCAGCAATCACAATTTTGTGTTTACACGCTCATATTTCAATTGTTTACCAACCGATTTTCAAAATTCTTTCACCATAAGATTGCCTGTACATTTCTTAGTCTTCTCACAAAATTTGACGCGAATCGAACGTAATCAGCGGTAGGGAGCGCGATGTAAAGACGGAACCGTTCCGTTCCGTCCCGGCACAGTCTACAATTCAGGCGGCGCGTAGCGGTCGGCGCCGGCTGCCGAGTCGCCGCGTCGCTGCGGCGACAGGATGTTCACTTTACACCGCTATTACTAGAACAGTTGTGAACCGATTTTCTTATTGCTTGCACGATGAGATGTCCAATTCAATTCTTGACAGGTAGCCATAATTAATTTCGCATTAATCTTATGAGATATTGGCGAAAAACAGGAGGGGTGGGCGAAATTCGCTCTTCCCCCTCCACTGCGCGTGCTAACATACGTTTGCATATGTGCAATTTTCTTCAAAACTTATGAATGGCCCACTCTAATTTTTTCACAGGTTGTTAAGAATATGGTAGGCAATAAAATATATGAAAATGAGCCAAATCGAAGGTGACGTGTTTTTTGCTATTTCAATATTTGTGCTTAAGTACAGAGTTAAGCAAATTTCAAGGTCATATATTTAAGTAGGTGCAACTCTTAACAAATGCTTAAGAAATTACCTAAACAGTAAGGTTTATTTCAGGGGCGTCGCCGACGGGGGGGTCGGGGGGGTCGTGACCCCCCCACTCTTGAAAACTGGGGGTGTCGACCCCCCCACTTTTTGCGATGCTGAGTATGCTTTTTTAGCTTTTATGTCAGTGAAGCAGGCGTCAGCAACACCAACAAATACATCAGATTCAAAATCGTTTCAAGAGCTCCCTAAAGCCAATTAGCCAATTACCTAAAGGTCAATTAGCTGTGGGCGGGGAACACCAGCACAACAATGTTTTTAAGTAGCCCCCATCCTAGTATACCTTTTTATCCCTCAAAGGATTGGACGCGCCAAAACTGCCCCGAGCGTTCGTCTGATCGTTTAAAAAAAATGGTCGCAGTCGATTCGTCGGATCAGTACCTAACTACAAAACTACAAACTAGCCTCAGCCCCATGGCTACCGTCACAACTAGCTGCACAGTGCACATGTAGGGGAAAGGGAGTCAGATGGAACAGTCTCGGGCTTTCGCAAAGAAGTCGCGCAAAAAGGAGCCGATTGCAACAAAACTTCCGGTGCGCTCGAGTTAATCACCTACTTAAAATAAATCGATATCCCTGATTCAATTAAAGATGACCTTAGTTCACTTTTTCATAACGTGCTTTTAATTGATAGGGTAGTTTTTGGAGCTGATTTTGAATTTAGCGCCCATCTGAACATTTAAGAAGTAGTTGTGTTGCTTATTCATATAACATGCTAGGAAGCAATCGGTGGTGGTCATCCACTATTAGGTACTGGTCGATCTGACCTGACCTGATCTACCCAAATGCATGGAGTCATCATCTTCGTTCAAAACTAAGATAACATTCGTAATCAGAACCTCGAAAAACCATCACAACTTACATTCGTTAAGTTCTAGCAGGTCCCGAGTTTCTCTACTTATTGGCGATGACCTGAGTCCTGAGATGACCCGAAAACTTGTAAATGGGTATCATCGGCTTTCTCTCGTCACGGGCAGCATGCTCTTTTTTCCGCAAACCTCTAGATCGATCAGGGGTCGAAAGCATGCCTCAGCGTTAGTTTAGTATACGTTATACGTTAGCGACTGGGAAACCACCAATAGAAGGGCTACAGTGAAGCAGAAAACTATTCGATAGCTCTTTTAACGCTCTTTCGCTAGCTTCGCGTTAGATTTCATCTCAGGTCTATGTTTGGCCCATAAGAAGGCAAACAGCTAACTGGACAGATTCTGCCGAAACATCTGCTTTGCAATAACTTTCGATTCCGTGAATTTGTATGGTATGTACATATGTTGTCTTGTCACCACCGTCTTGATCTCTTTGAGACGCGTCACATGAGTTAAAATTTGACCATTCAGAATTAACGTTAAAACGACCTCAGGTCAACGTTATGTCCTGATCGAAAAAGGACCTCCTGCTGCATATGAATGGATCCGTGTTGTTGAGCTGAACAGTGAACACCTTCCAGGTGCTGTCATCGCTCTACCGCGTCTTCGTCAAAAGTTGTAGAAAAAAATGCTGGTGGCCATCGATGGACATTTCCACTAATGACCTTTCGAGTCATCACTCGCCATAAGTTGCACCCTGTCCCTGGCAATGATGAGCTGATTTGTCATGGCTCCAAAGATATTTTGCGTTTTTGACGAACCTTTTCAAAGCAGGAGGCATTCGTGCTTTTCTAATTTCTCATTATTTTCTAATGATGAGGTCACGTATTTGACCTGCCTTCAGATCATAGATGTAAATCCTCAGTTAGAATCATGAATTGCTGACACGTATAACCCCATACATTAGGTACCTATACAGTGTACCAAATTTCGAAGTTATGGGAGAAAAGCTACAAGAATGGCGAGAGGGGAAAGTTTTATAGAGGCATACCGTGTAACTGAACTTGACATGGCGACCTGACCTTAACCCTAGAACGCCTAGGGGGGGGGGGGTTGTATCAACCCCCCCCCCCTGAGGTTTTTCGAAGTGCACGCTAAACGGCTTGTCGTAGCGGGCTGAAATTTTCAATACCCTCTGGGGCAACCTTTGCGCATCTTTTGCCGAAAAAAAATTGATCGGGTCATGTCAGGTCACGGAGTTATGACGTCATAAGAGGTACAGCCTCCGGCCGACAGTTACCAAACGTGTGCGCCGAATCCCTAGGTTTTCTGCCGGTGATACCCACATCGTTTGATGGATCATGATGAAACTTCCCATGCATGTTGGGGCAAGCATTGGCTATCGTGTGGTGCAAGAAAATTGACCGGGTCAGGTCAGGTCACGGAGCTATGACGTCACAAGAGGAACAGCGTCCGGTACTATTTTTGAAAAGCGCCCGAACCACTATTTTGCTAATTCTTGTCACCTCAATGGGAATATGCACTATGCAGCAATATTAGCTTCTATAGGGAGCAAATGGACCTCCCAAATCCAAAAATACAATCAGATTTCAAAAATTTAAATTTTGATTTTTCGAATTTCTGACGCCGACTGTGACCTTGCCGACTTCCGGCGCTCCCAACGCGCCATTTTTAGAGCTAGGGAAACGAAATACATACCAAACGATAGAGAATTGATCAAGGAACACGATAGTGAAGGTTTCAAGTCGATATCTCCCACCGTTTTGCCGCAATCGCCGCGGAAAGTTGAAAAAGTTTGATTTTTTTCGGAAAATTTGACCTTTGACCGGTCATAAGTAGGTCAAATGTTGACCTAGGACCAAAAAATATACCACCAATCGCGAGATCTCGTTGAGAGCAATCCGTTGGTTTTTTCCGCTAAGCTCTACGACCTTCTGTTTCGAAACGCCAGGGGGGGTCGTAACAACCCCCCCCCCTGGTCGTTCGTGTTATGAGAGATGGCCTGGTCGTGCGAGGGTTAAGTGACCAGTGATAATTTTTACGCAAGTGATGTAGGTAGGTATACCTACCTAATAGGTTATACCAAATTTGGCGGCGCTGCGCGCCGATTTGTTACACACGCACACACACACATACGCACGCACAAAACTGGGAAGTGTGGCAAAAAAACACCCCTACCCATCGGGTGAAGACCCGACCCCCCCACTCAAAAATCCGTGGCGACGCCCCTGGTTTATTTCATTCAAATCAAACAAGTACAACCAAAGTTATGGTCATTCAAAAATATAAAGATGCAACATTTTGTAAAAATTTGATGCCCTATATTTAGAAGACCTGTGGTCAGAATGTGCAAAAAACATCAATGTAATGTCCGGGGCCACACAGGAACTCGCTCACAAATTTATAATGAAATCGCTGATGGTAAGGTGCAAAACAGCCGATTTTTGTTCGATTTGACGTGGAATGCCCCGACTGGAAGAGACGTAGTCGGCATTCTGATGGTCACTGATCAGTCCATTTGCCCGGGAAGCCGGTCTGTTTAGGGTATGCTATTCTTACACCAATTTCTGGTAATAATTTCTCCAAGAACATCTTGTATGCTTTATGATAACTGGCTGTCAATTATTTTTGTTGTCGCATTGTCACACTGTTGCCGTTTTGTTTGTATCTGGCTGCTGCCCTTTGCCAGCTGATTGAGGCTCGTTCGTCTGAACCTGTCGCTCCCCGTGTGACCAGGTGCTGCCGCCGGGGAGCTTCCTCTCCACGCTGGCGGCCAGCATGCTCTGCGGCGCCGCCGTCGTCGTCATGATGACGCCCTTCGACGTCATCGCCACGCGGCTCTACAACCAAGGTGAGCAGGCTCGGCAGCTATTTGTATTGAGTTATAACAGAGGCTTGAATGCATTGCACGATGAACTTTCATGTTGTGTACGCGATATCAGACTATATAGCAGTGAAGTGACTTAATGGGTCATTCACCTTCTCTATCTAATGTCATGCAGCTTGCGTTCTCTGGTCTCTAAAGGTTTGGTGTGTTGCGCAGCTTGACGTTTCCTCCGCTCTGTCACAGCTAAAAGTTTACATTTTCGATAAATTGTGTGATAACTGATAATGGACTGGGTGACCAGATCTAACACCACTTCTCCACCTCGCGCGCAGGCGTGGACAGCAGCGGCCGCGGCCTGCAGTACCGCGGATACGTGGACTGCGTGCTCAAGATCCTGCGCTCGGAGGGACCGCGCGGCTTCTACAAGGGCGTGACGGCCAACTGGCTGCGCGTCGGACCGCACTCGGTGCTCAACATGAGCTTCTGGTCGTACCTGAGGGCCGTCCTGGGAGAGGCTCGTGCCGGGGATGAGGGGTCGGTCGCGGCAGACTAACGTCGGGGACGAGCGGTCGGCAGCAACAGACTATTGGCGAGGACGAGGGGGTGGCGGCCGTCATAAGTGCCTTCAGCGCCCTCCAGGTCGTCGGCGAGAGATTCAGTCGGAGGTTTAGTATGAATTTTATGGAGATTCTCTGTCGCAGAACGGTACAGCTCGCCAGATGAGGTGACGAAGTGCCGGTAGAATTGGGCTACACCTGCGGCAGACGCGGCGATCAGGTGTTAGTCGCCTCTGAACTCAGCGCTCGGCCAGTGCGGAAAACGCCTTTTCCACCGATCATACGTTGCTTAGTGGCAACGGAATGTCTTCCAGGTCAGTAAGTGCCCAGTAGTGTTTATAGTGATGCAGTTTAGCAGGGCTTTTGTGGATTAAGGTTGTGTTCGTACAATCACCGCACAACTTCGGAGTCGCCCCGCCGAAAAAAAACTTGTTTCAGAAACGATAATCTTGTTTCGTAATCATGGTTGCCTCCTGGGTTGTGTCCCGATGGTGCATTTCACGGTTAATTTGGTGTTACCAACGTTCCTACTTTCTCATATGTTTTAACGATGCATAACATAACGACATATTAGTGTATGTTAAATATAGTGGCAGCTCTTCAGTCAGTCTCCATGCTGCATTATGTTACATGTGTTAGTCACCCTTATTTACTTATTTGTGCAATATGTATGGCTGTCATTTTATCGCATGTAATAAATAAACAATAGATAATGCGCGTACACTGTGAATCGTATGATGTTTTGATTCATTGATACGTCAGCGTCCATTGGTCCATTGTCCATTGGGACCATTGTTGCTGTTGGCAGCAATGCATCAATTGCACCTTGTATCCATAACGGAAATCGTCGCAATACATTTTGTGAAAGCGTACTTTGCTGTTCGTCATTGCCTTTCAACAGTGCCCTTCACACGTGAAACGACACGAGGTTCGCTCTCCCTGCTAACTGCGCCTGCAGTTGTACACGGCTGGTTTGTCAGTTTGTCAAAATACCCTGCTTCCAACTTACGGTCAACAGTCACCAATCAACTCCCTGTTCTGTCTCGGATGATTTGTCCGCTTTCTGTCATAGTCTCAAAAAGGTCCTCTTCACATGGTCACGCGATGTATTCAAACAGTGATGAGGCGGTAACAATCGGACTCAGTAGGGCTTCTGTTTGTGTTTGCCGCGCTGTTTGTGGGTGGGCGCCTTGGCGTCTCGGCGTTGGGAGGAGCTGGGCCTGGCGCCCGGCCTCCAGAGGGTCAGCATGCCGCCCTCGCCGCCAGTCACCAGCTCGCCAGTCTGAGGAACCGGGGGGGGGGGGGGGTGTCAGTGTCAGTGTCAGCATACCGCCCTCGCCGCCAGTCTGAGGGACCAGAGGGTGTCAGTGTCAAACAGAGGACGTAGAATGTGGGATCTGGGTGAAATACGGATGGCACCGGGGGAACCGGGAGACCGAAGCTGCATTGGCGTAGACATTACCGTTTGGGACAGGGGAAACAATACAGTGACACCATGAATTTACGGATTACATTGAAACTATTCACGCAAAGCGACGCTGAGCTTCCCGACGAGGTGGATGGTAGCCATAACCGACTGAGCTACATGGTATGGCTGTCAATCCAGAGGCTGACGAAAATACATCAAACACACACGAACTAGGCATGAGAGGCTGATGGCATCGAGCTACAGGATACCAACCAACGGATGGGTAACACAAACACACATCCTGTTTTTTCTCCATCGATTATGTCCTATCACTGACGATAAGCACGATCAGCCCCAGCACCGTGACGCGGTCCGCCGCTACCCACCCCGCCCCGTCTTACCGCCGGGCTGAAGGCACTGGCGCGCACCAGCTGCTGGGTGACCTCGGAGTCCTCGAGCAGCGCGTGCGGCGTCAAACGGTCGCCGTCTATCCGCAGCAGGCGCAGACAGCCGTGACTGCGGAAGGACAAGGGCGTTGGAGATCACGCATCGCTGGTTTATTATCTGCACACAGGTGATCCGAGCGAGCTCACAGTTTGCAGGCATAGCGATTAGAGATGTCGCTGCTAGTCAGGGTGCAAGTGACGCTCGTTGACGCTCGTCCATACATGGTGCCTATCGTTTGCCTGTTCCGATACGAACACTACGCAGGCATTCTAACAAAATATGTATATAGCACCGAAGCAAAGTATATGTAATCAAAAGCGTCCTCGTATAATCTAGAAACAAAACATCAGACTGTACTCCATATCAAGGCTTACACGATCAACTACCTCCGTTATTTTGCACTCAGTTCAGGCCCCCTGCCATTCTCTGTCGCTCAGCAGCTCACCCTTCTTTGGTGGTGGCTCCGGCGACGGCCAGGACGTCTCCCTCGGCGGTCTGGTGGCAGCTCTCTACGTAGCACACCTCAGACATGGTCCGCTGTGGGTCAGGGGCGCCAGTGTCACATACATTATACATAGCACAGCTCCGAGTCGTCCGCTGTTGGTCACGGGGAGCGTCCCCATCACGGGCCGCGCACACAGAGAAACGTAACATCAATCATCATGGACAGGCGCACAGGAGTTTGGATCGCATGACAGATTAGTGCAAGAAGAGACGTCGGATGGAGAAGGCGAATTGATTCGTAAAACAGATCGTCGCAATATGTTTCACAAATCACGAGACATTGCACGAAAGCTTTAGAAAAAACAGCCCTCGAGACATCCCAGATATTCAACCACTGACTATTCGTAAAAATTCATAGAATTACTGAAAGCTGCTGTAGAAACAGTGCAGGTGTGATTTCCTGGGCTCTGGATTACAAGCACTCCCCTTCCTCCGACCGCTGCCCACTGTCGCTCGACCATCCGCGATCAGTGGCCATCCGCGTGCTCACCCGAATGGCCTGTGCGACCTCCTGCCGTCCGAACTGGGCAGTCCGCTCCGACTCCTGCAGGTCCCAGAGCTGCAGCTCCTCCGTGTCAAGCACCACCGCCAGGTGACGGCCGTCGGACCGCTCGTACCTGGGAGAGGGCGAGGACCGTGATACTAACGACAGACAGTACACACTACACACTACACACTACACAGCACCACGGCCAGGTGATGACCGTCGGGCCGCTCGTACCTGAGGGGGGGGGGGGAGGTTCGTCTTATAACACTGTCAGACTGTTACACCACCGCCAGGTGACGGCCGTCGGGCCGCTCGTTCCTGAGGGAAGAGACGCCGTGGGTTTATCGTACAACCTAACCAGACAATGCACTGTAATACAGGCACATGGGGCGGCCGCCCCCGCTCGTACCTGGGGGCATGGGGTCAGTGGGGTCATGGTATAACTCTGCCAGACTTTAACACCACAGCTAGAAGGCAGCCGCCGCACTGCTCGAGCCTGGGCAATGAGCGAGACCGAGTCATTGCTCCAGTGGCAAATACTGAAATGGTACGCCGAGACTGGCAGCTAAGCCGCCGTTGTAAGCCCCTGCAGTCGCAATCATACACTTCCGCCAGCATTGAGTGCAGAAGATCCATAGTAAATACAGTGAGCACATGACAAACATAGCATCAGTTCGTCACAGCCTGACTCGGCGAAACGGTAATGGCATTTATAAGCGGATTAAGCATCAACCAGATACCAGAGCGTGCCCCTGAATAGACAACCCTAGAACGAGATATTGCATATGGATACATCAGTGCACACGACTGCTGCACTCACTGCCCACGTGATTTGAACACGTCGACACCATCCATCGCTCGTTTGCATCACGTGACCTCTCGCTGACACCAGCCTCTGTCGGTCTCTGCCCATCACGTGACCTCGTCAAACGCCAGCCTCTGAGTGTGTGACTCACCACGTGACTGAGCTGACGGAGGACTCGGTGTTCAGAGTCGCCTGGAGCGCGTCGTCCTCGGAGGTCTGAGTGACGTCGAACACGTTCACGTATCCGTCCGTGGAGCCGGTGGCCAGCGCGCCGCTGTCGGTCGGGTGGAAACGTACCTGGGGGGAGAGGGCGCAGTGTCACAGCGTGAGCAGTGCCGCCTGGGAGGCGGGGTCGGTAAGCGGGCTGGGTGTAATGGTCGAGACAGTGAATAAATAAACTGAGTTCCGATATCATTTCAACCTTTTCTCCAATTCCGTATTCTGTCTAACGAAGTGTGACATAATCCAGCGGTACATACAAATAGTATGTCGAAATAATACAATGGTACGGATAATACAATAAAATACGCCGCGAACGAAGCAAGTAATCCGTTATCACAACAGTCCACCCTTTCTCTTATCGTAGCCGTTTCAACAGTCCAAATCTACGGCATCCCTTCTACCGTGCCGTGACCATCCTCAGATCTACGCCCATGACACCCAGCCTCTCCCAGTCACAACAGTACACTTTCCCCCCAGTACCCTAGCGGTTCACAGCTCTCTCCCAGTCCGCCCCTTGCCGACGTACCGTGGAGAGTTCGTCCGTGTGCGACTCCCAGTAGCCTCCGAGCGGCATCGGCTGTCGCACGTCCCAGAACACCAGGTAAGCGTCCTGGTCCACCACCTCAGTACCGGCACAGAGGAACCGGCCGGCCGCATTGACGTCCACGCAGGTCAGCGGTTTCCGCTTCTGTAAGGTGGTGTCTGTGGAAGTAGGGGTTGCAGAGTCAGAGAACGGCAGAGACGGAGCCTCAGACGGCGGCGCGGCGGCACTGGTGGTCAGTGTGTGTGCTGTCAACAGGGACAGACGCGTCGGCGGCGGGCCAGGGACCGGCCCCGGCCCGCCGCCGGGTCAGCCGTCAGATATCCGTTCGGAACATCATGCCACAGTGGATACCGGGGGAGGAAAACGTAAAGCGAGCTACATTTGCTGAAGCTAACATACAAGGTTGTTTTGGTAATAACTCAAGCTGCAAAATGTATTTACTAAGATGTTTGAATTTCAGCGACTGTTTCATGACCAGTTAGCACCATGTCATGCCCTCGTCCACCAATCAGCCTGGCGCATGAGGGCAGACACTATAACATCCTGTCTGGAGCTCCGTACCTGAGTGTTCCATTGTCATCTGGCCGGACCGGGTGTCCCACTGTCGCACGGTGCCGTCCAGGGACGAGGAAACCAGCACCGAGTCGCTCCCTGGCACGTACCTAGCATCAAGGAAGGACACACATTGAAAACATGCCCCAAATTGATGATGTGAGAACAGTTGATGTCACTTATATCTACAGAATATATCGCGTAAGGAAGAACTCCAAATGAAAAAAATATGTTAGACAAAACACAGTTGACATCTTCCTTACCAGGGAATGATGAAATCATCAGTAAATTTTACCATTACTTACACAAAGCATCTAATTAAAGCACGTGGCACTGACCTGACGCCTGTGACTTTGTCTGTGTGCCCTCTCATGGAGTGGAGCTTCTTCAAGGTGCCCCAGTCAAACAGTGACAGTGAAAAGTCTGAACATACCGCAGCCAGCTGGGACTGGGACCTGGAAGACATGACATGTGACTGTGTGGAGACTAGAGGCACACCTAATGTAATGTCATTGTTTACTCATAATTGTTTTAGTGTTCCATGGCAATGACATACTCGTATACTCGTATGGCTTCAAGAGATACATAACACAGTTACAAAACCAGTATAACGCCTTTTGGGGCGACTAACGGAGCGAGCGAGAGGGTGAGCCTTGCACGTGCGAAATTTCGAGGGGTACCTCCAACTGACTTGTGCACGGCACCCTACTAACCGGTCTCTAGCGATGTATCAAATTTGAGCACAATCGGCCCAGCCGTTCTCGAGATCTGGAAGCGGCACCCTGCACGTGCGCACATGCAAAATGGGTCCCAACTGACTTTTGCACTGCACCCTACTAACCGGTCCCTAACCATGTACCAAATCTCAGCGCAATCGGTCCAGCCGTTCTCGAGATCTGGAAACGACCCCTGCACGTGCGCACGTGCAGCAGCAACCCAAGTCTGGCACATGGATATGCAGTGCCTAGTGGGTGCCTACCTACATGCCAACTTTCAGCGCAATCGGCCAAGTAGTTACCGAGATATTGCAACAATTACGAAACTGACACCTATTCGTTTTGCACGTGGCACGTGCATAAGGGGTCACCCACATGCATCGGGAATAGTCCAATACTTGGTAGAAGGAATGAAGCTACCCTACAAAAATTACCCCGTGTAAATCGGTCAAGTGGTTCCTGAGATATAGGCCTTGCAAAAGCGTCCGCACGGCCGGCCGGCCGGCCGCTCATACTCAGAAATTTCCGTTAATCTAAGGAAAGACTCCGCTCGCTTCGCTCGCTCCGTAATAAATCCCAAAGAAGCATTAATGGCTAGAGGAAACCTTTTCAGTTCATATATCTCAGTTTAATATGAATAATAAAAGCTGGATTCTGCACCAATTTACAAAATAACTATCTCAATCTCTCTGGCCAATAAACCCTAGGTATAAATTCAGTACTTACCCACTGATAGCCAGGTGTGTAATGTAGTTAGACTTTTTCCCAGAATCACTCAGTTGTCCCAGATATGCAGCTGCGTGATATTCATTAGGGAAATCCTTTTGCATAACATCATACCCCACAGTATCTGTATCCTTTTCAGACTCAATATCTCTGCAGTTCAGATCCATGCTGATTGGTTTCTGGAGAAAGAAAAAACAAAAGGTAAACATATGCCAAGTACAAAAAAAGATCAAAGAAAAACAATGAGGGCCACACTATGTGCTGTCAGATTTCACAATGCAAGCAGGACTTATAATGATTGATGATTCTCAAGCTAGCAGCAGATTTACATTTTGATTTGTAAATCTGCAGCCAGCATGGTTAGCAGTAAGCAGCAAGACATTTGTCACCCCAGAACATGCTGCAACTGGCAGCAGAATTGAGATTTGCAGAATCCCCTCTACCAGCAGCAGATTTGGGCTGATGCAATAAATTGTGTGCTAGCGATGGTGAGACCCACATCAGCATATTCACAAATCTAACATTGAAAATGGAGACTTCAACCAGACCTGTATGGCTGAATGTGCAGCTGCCTGCAATCCAATCACCCAATGTTTCTCTGCCACAAGGACCTTGAGGTTTGAGGTCAACAATCAGTAACCACTTATGATGGAACATAGGTACCTAGGTTAGGTACCTTTTTAAAATGGACTCTGACAGAGGAAGGAGGGAGTCTGAAGATAATGGGAACCACGGGCCTGAACACAATAAACACAAACACAATGTTAGTTGCTGGTACCAGCCGCGGCTAGGTTGCCAGTCCCTGCCTCAAATGAATAGGATCCTTGCTGCACAGTGCACAGTACCTAACTATATTTACAATACCTATCAATAGATTTTGAAAACCAAACAGCACTTTCTACTGTAGCCTGTCAGTTGGGGAAACTATGAGGCGCCAAACTTAAATTTGATCGGCCAATCAATGGCTGCGGTGGGTGATGCCCATATATGGTTATAAAATCAGAAAACAATCTTTTCTATGCATCCTAGCATTCAAATGAAAAATGAAGCATAAGAATGTTGAGATATGACTTGAGTGTCATGATTAAAAAGTTTTTCCTCAGGACTATATGTAATTAATGTTTATGTTTTTTTTTCGGAGTTGTTCAAGAGGATAAGTACAAATATTACATTTATTCAGATATTTCGGTACTCGTTGTGGTACCTTCATCGGTGAAATGGCGCACAAAGTTTCGGTTCGTGGTTCGACAATCACATACAATACAAAACACGCGACAACGTCATCTAAAAAAGAAAGACGGAGGGAGAATTTACCATCTCACTACGGCACTAAAAAACGTGAAATGTAAGCTGGCAAGACTCTCTAACCATATCATCTTCTTAACGCGTTGCCGCGATAACAAGCTGGTTCCGAAAGGAATGCAGCTCCGTCGCACAGTTATATCACCTAAGGCCGGAGACATCATCAAAAGGGCGGAATACGGTCTGGTTCGGGACCAAATCGTCAACCTGAAGCAAAAGAAAGCAATCGAACTGAAAACGAAAAACCGACTTATCATGTCACTTCGGAGTGTACTGTCCGTTGGTGACTTCAGAGTCGTTGAAAATGTAACAAACAAGGCGGAGAACGGTGAATTCCAGAAGATAAAGAACATCCAGGAAAAAAGTTCACATCGCTTCGGAATGCCAGGGCCAACCGTAACGAGAACCGTCAAGATGTAGCCATCAAGGCAGTAGACAACCGCAGTGGATGCCAGCTGTCGACAGATGAGCAGAAAGTCTTGGAAAAGGGACTCGGGTTCGCCCCGACGCCCCAAGCGGTGCCTGTAAAGGATATCATCTGTGCGGTTGAAGCCGGCCTGTCAAAAGTCACAGATGTCACCCAAGCTAACGTCATCCGGTCACAGGTAAGCAGCATTGTCAACAAAGCCAAAGCCAAACCGATAGAAGACAACATGACGGCAGCAGAGCGTATAGCCCTCAACAGACTGAGCAAGAGAACCGATATCAAGATACTGCCGGCAGATAAAGGTAACACAACAGTCGTGCTGTCGGCTCAGCAGTACTCTGAGAAAAAAGATCAGCTATTAGATGATCCGAGCTACATGACAAAGATCCAACAGCCGCAAAAGAAAGACAGATAAGAAAAGCTATAGACGAAGTCTACCGGAGTGGAAGCATATCTGAAGGACTAGCAAAACGACTGAAGCCAAGTCACTCTTCACCACCCAGGCTCTACGGTGTACCAAAAATCCATAAGGATGGTGTGCCTCTGAGACCAATCACCAGTATGATAGACCAATCACCGGCGTATGATTTGGCAGCTCATCTCACCAAGATCATAAGCCCAGTGCTTGGGAAAACAGAGTACACCGTGCCGAACTCGAAGTCATTTGTAGAGGAGATTAGAAATATTACCTTAGACGGAACAGAAGAAATGATCAGTTTCGATGTAGTCTCATTGTTCACCAAGGTGCCGGTGGATGATGCAGTCAACGTGATTTGTTCGAAACTAACAGCAGATGACAGCCTGCAAGACCGAACCGGACTGAGCGTAGAACAAATCCGAAGGCTAATGCTGGCGTGCCTGAACTGCCGCTACTTCCAATGCCAGGGGTCATTCTACGAACAGACCGAAGGTGCACCGATGGGTCTGAGCCTGTCCGTAGTCCTCGCTAATGCCTACATGGAGCACCTTGAGGAGTCGGTATTAGGCACAGCATCCAGTCAGCCAGTCATCTGGAGAAGGTATGTCGACGACACATTCATTTTGTGGAAACATGGGAATGAGGCACTTGAACAATTTCACAGGGAGCTGAACAGCTTCAGCCCAGCCATTCAGTTCACGGTAGAGAGGGAACAAGACCAGCAGCTCCCGTTCCTTGACGTCCTCGTTCGTCGCGACAGGGCAAGGCTGAAAACATCAGTGTATTCGAAGCCAACAGCATCTAATCTGTACCTGAAGTACGACTCCAATCATCCGGCGTGCATAAAAGCTGGCATTGTAAGATGTTTGGACACGAGAGCCCAGGTCATCTGCAGTGAGCCATCAAGCCGGCACGAAGAGAGGGCGCACCTCTGTGACCTTCTACAAAGTAATGGCTACCCAAAAGGTTTCATCGAAAAATCGATGAAGAAAAGAAAACAGATCGGGCAGCAAGCTGAAGATAACGCGCAAGAAAAAAACATTCGTCAAGCTACCATGCGAGAGGGGCGTTAGTGAAAAACTAGCTAAAGTCCTCCGTCCCATTGGAATCCAAGTGGCACACTCATCGAACCGCCTAAGAAGCCGCCTAGTCAAAGCCAAAGACGCCCCCAAACCCGAAAAGAAAAAAGGAGTAGTCTACCAGATATCCTGTTCCTGTGGCTCAGTCTACATCAGCGAATCGGGAAGGCCAAAGGATGTCCGACTCAAAGAACATGTCGCGGACATCAAGCACGCACGGCTGGACAAGTCTGCTACAGCAAGACACTTCAGCACCTGCAGGGGTGACTTGAACCCACTCACCGCCAAGACGCTAGCCTCTGAAGGTCACTGGAAGAGGCGCAAGGTCCGAGAAGCCATAGAGGTCAAGCTAACGCCACAGGCCACTATGAACCTTGACGAGGGCGGCGTCCGTTTGAGCCCCATATGGGACATTCTCTTAACCTAGACCCGCAGCATACATTGTATCGTCGTCTTCAAACCGCTAGCTTATAGAACCTCTAGTATTTACCCAGCGGCCGCCATCTTTTCTCATATCGTTTTTTCGTATATATTTGTCCTACAATTACGCGCATTGTGAACCTTACATTACAAGTTTGTCCCCAACAGTTGTAGTTTTATTACAAAAAAATGAAGTCACCAACAGCTCAGTTGGGCAAACTAGACTTTTGGAATCAAAATATGGAGGCATCAATAATTTGATTCTGGTGGGAGGAGCCATGACCAAATATGGGCATGGAATCAATTTTTTGATTCATTTGGGTACGCTTTTGACTTCAAATGAATCGTTACGGTTGAAAAAAGGCCCATGACGGTGAGATTTTTCTTTTAAAAGGTAGAAAAATGTGGTAGGTTTGCAAAAAGTGTTACCTCAAAGCTAAGAAATTGTCCCTTTGGCCTTGTGAATGGGAAAAAGACAGAGCCACTGTCCATCACGTAAAAGCTGTTTTGAGGAAATCACACTGTATGTTATTTTTGTATCATGAATCATATACTAACCAATCAGTATTTGTGTAAAATGGCAAAATGAAATTTTTAAACCCCTAATTATCATTGTTGTAGTGCTTTTATATTATTTATATTGTTTTTACCTGTTGCTTCAGTTTTTGTAATCTTGACATTTATAAATAGTGAATTGTTATCAAATGTAGTGAAGGTAAGATACCACTAAATGAGAATAATAGCAAGATAAATGCTGTATTCTTGCAAGTCATTGTTGCCTATCTGTTAACATTACCTGTGAATCAAAATAATGATTAGCCAGCTGATGGGGAATCAATATTATGATTATCTGTTAAAAGTGAATCAATTCCTTGATTGCCTTTCACTACCTATAGAATTCAAATTGTTATGATAGGAGCAATATGATTTTGCTTAGGAGATAGTTCAAGCATTTCTGTTCAAGATCAGGCATGCTCCTTCTTGAAACACTCTGTTATTTTTATGTGATTGGTAAGTTAGAAATGGTCTGCATTTATGCCCAAAAGGAATCAATCTTTTGATGCCTCCATATTTTGATTCCAAAGGTCTAGTTTGCCCAACTGAGCTGGTAGATTGCCTGTAATATGCTTTTGCTTGGTGCTAAATTAGGTTTAGGTAATTAGGTCTTCTCAGGCATATTTAAAGTGTAGGTTTTTAGATGACGTTGTCGCGTGTTTTGTATTGTATGTGATTGTCGAACCACGAACCGAAACTTTGTGCGCCATTTCACCGATGAAGGTACCACAACGAGTACCGAAATATCTGAATAAATGTAATATTTGTACTTATCCTCTTGAACAACTCCGAAAAAACATAAACATTAATTACATAAGAATGTTTTTTAACCACACAAGGCCTGTACTCACTCGGTGCATATATGCACTGGCGGGTTATATGGCCTTGCACTGGCGGCTCTAAATCGCAGTTACAATACAACGTCAAAAAGTGATTGGCAAATATGGCGGATTGAAACAGATGCGCCAAAAAACGTAA